CCTCAGCCTCCTGAGTAGCTGGGATTACAGGCATGCACCACCATGCCCAGCTAATTTTTTGTATTTTTAGTAGAGACGGGGTTTCACCATGTTGACCAGGATGGTCTCGATTTCTTGACCTTGTGATCCACCCGCCTCGGCCTCCCAAAGTGCTGGGATTACAGGCTTGAGCCACCGCGCCCGGCCTATTTATTTATTTTTGAGATGGAGTCTCACTCTGTGGCCCAGGCAGGACTCCAGTGATTATTTTTTATTATTTTTTACTTATTTATTTTTGAGATGGAGTCTTGCTCTGTTGCCCAAGCTGGAGTGCAGTGGCACAATCTTGGCTCACTGTAACCTCTGCCTTCCAGGTTCAAGTGATTTTTCTGCCTCAGCCTCCTGAGTATCTGGGATTACAGCCACAGGCCACCATGCCTGGTTAACTTTTTTCCTTTTTTGCAACGAAGTCTCACTCTGTCACCAGGTTGGAATGCAGTGGTGCGATCTTGGCTCCCTGCAACCTGTACCTCCTGGGTTCAAGTGATTCTCCTGCCTCAGCCACCCAAGTAATTAGGACAGGTGTGTGCCACCACACACAGCTAATTTTTATATTTTTAGTAGAGATGGGGTTTGACCATGTTGACCAGGATGATCTTGATCTCTTGACCTTGTGATTTGCCTGCCTCAGCCTCCCAAAGTATTGGGATTACAGGCATGAGCCAACGCTCAGGATCCTTTTTTTTGTTTGTTTTTTGAGATGGAGTCAGGCTCTGAGTCTAGGCGGAATGCAATGGTGTGATCTCGGCTCACTGTAACCTCCACGTCCTGGGTTCAAGCAATTTTCCTGCCTCAGCCTCCCAAGTAGCTGGGATTACAGGCATGTGCCACCATTCCTAGCTAATTTTTCTATTTTTAGTAGAGATGGGGTTTCACCGTGTTGGCCAGGCTGGTCTCAAACTCCTGACCATAGGTGACCTGCCTGCCTGAGCCTCCCGAAGTGCTGGGATTACAGGCATAAGCTACTGCATCCGGCCCAAAAAGGTTTTTAGAAAATCATCAGGACAGTGGTTCCACTGGATCCCAGGCAACAGAGACATAGATCATCTCCTTTCACAGGGAACTGTACCTGCTACAGACATCACAGACCAGAACATCTGGAACACACATTCCTCACTCACTTGTAATTGTCTTATATTCTCTGTAAAGAAAATGCTACACGGCCGGGCGCGGTGGCTCAAGCCTGTAATCCCAGCACTTTGGGAGGCCGAGGTGGGTGGATCACAAGGTCAAGAGATCGAGACCATCCTGGTCATCATGGTGAAACCCCGTCTCTACTAAAACTACAAAAAATTAGCTGGGCATGGTGGCGTGTGCCTGTAATCCCAGCTACTCAGGAGGCTGAGGCAGGAGAATTGCCTGAACCCAGGAAGCGGAGGTTGCGGTGAGCCGAGATTGCGCCATTGCACTCCAGCCTGGGTAACATGAGTGAAACTCCATCTCAAAAAATAAAAAAGAAAATGCTACACTTAGAGAAATCATGCCCCTGAAGAGCCTGGCTCAAACCCTTTTGCCCTCCCTAGAAGAGCTCTGAGCTCACATGGGAGAGTTGCAGCCACTGGCAGCCATGAACTTGACCAGTCCCATCACACTTCAAATGATCAGTGATTTCAGCAAGAAATCACGGAGACCCTCTTGCCACCCGTTGCCTTTAGCCCAGTGCTTGAAAGAGCATCGTTAAACTCCTTGCCAGGTCTCACAGATATCTGAAGCTCAGGAGATAAGGAGAGGGCTCAGTAGAACTGCTGGTCTAGTAAAATGAAAAGTGTGGAGGGGAAACACTTACGACCTTGTGTGCCCTTTACAAGTAACATCTGTTTCTCCTTCCTTTCTTTTTTTGAGAGAGTTTCGCTGTTGTTGCCCAGGCTGGAGTGCAATGGTGCAATCTTGGCCTCCTCCTCCTGGGTTCACAATATTCTCCTGCCTC